TTAATGGTGGTAGGTCTTAAGATAATATGAAAGTTAGGAATTTTCATGCTCGTCAGAAATAATATGTGACATCTGATGAAATTCTTAAAGAAATAGTTCAAGTGTATGATGTGTAATGGGCTTGGATTGTATATTATGTACTGTATTGTTGCTTTTTACCAATGCGATATTTATTTATTACATAAAAAAGATTATATTTTGGTGTCTCAAAAAAATTTTTTTGTTCATGATATAACGTTTTCATTTAGAGTTTTCACTGTTTTGACTTTCTTTCCCGTATTGCGTTATTGCATCTGTTTTGTTCGTCAAGAATTTTATTATCTTTTCAGTGATCATTCTTTCGAACGTAATCAAAAATTCGTAGGGTCATGACCTTTCTTGGATTATTGTTATTCAATTTATCTTTTATTGCTGTTACTAGTTATCCCAAGGGTACAGTTTTACGTCGTTTGCTTTTTATCTCTGAAACTTTGTGTCTAAGCTTCTTCAGCCGCGCGTGATTAATTATATAATGTATGATAATAATATAAATATTACATTTAATTTCATTTTTTATTTAAAAACAATTTTAGTTTACTAAAAAGGTGTTGAGTCTCATAAGGTTCAGATTTAATAAAAATTTTCCTCTCACATACAAGCAAGCGTCTTGCAATTGCACGCCTCATATCTATAAAATTTTTCCACAGACGAGACCAATTGAACAAGTTGAAGGGCTTTGAGTCTTCTTGACAACAATGCGATTCAATAAACTAAAGCCGTGTGCCCTCTGAAAACTTTAATTGACCACTGTATCATCAGGAGAACCTTGGTCTAATGTACACAAGGAAGATGAGATGTTTTAAATATTCGATCCTTGAGAATATACTTCAACATCCGTAAATAAATTTCCAACAATCAAACGGGTAGTTCTCAGATTGTCTAAAACGGTTTTCCATGTATGTGTGTGAGAGATCTTCAATAACTATGTTGCTTTTTTACCTTTGACGCTTCCTATAATCATTTAATATTAATAAAAAAAATATACCAATCATGATAAGGAATCTTATAACCATCTATATATGATAGATTTCATCCCATGTTTTGATTTCTATTCACTATAAGGTATTTAGGCTATTTTATATAAATAAAAATAAGTTTGTTAACACAATAAAATCACTGGCTATTAACAACTAACAACAAGTATCATAGCTTATTCTTTAAATAGGTTGTAATGAATGTCTAATTCTCTTCATCTCACGTTCCAAAAAAAAAAGGCTCAAAATCAGATAGTAATATATTTTTTTTTCCATATTATTAAACTTTTTCAAAAAAAAAAAAAAGGATCTTAAAAAGTTAAAAGAAACAATGCATCGGGTAGAAAAGAAACAAAACATGAGCAAATTTTATGCAATGATAATGAAAATGGATGAGAAAATCAACAAGCATTTGCTCTATATAGTGATATGTCATTCATAGTAACAGTAAACTTGATTTTTTCGCGCACAGTGCGCATAGTGTGCATACGCATAGCGTGTGTAGGCTTACATGAGCATTATGGGGTAATAGAAAAAAATTTCGCTTGCTGTGCCACGAACTATGCGCGGCACATCATTAGCTCTATAGTGTATGTAAGTATGTATGTACATTAATTATTATTTAAGAATATTAATTTATGACTCCATTAAAGTTATGTATCTTATTTTCTTAGATTAATTATTAGAGAGCATGTAGCAGCCAAATCGGAAATTATCCATTATGATAATGGAAAATTATTCGGTGTTCTTTGAATTTTTTATTAATATTTTGTTTATTTTAATAGATAATGATAAATCTCATGATTTTGTAATAAAAGATACTCGGAGAACAGTTTTCTTATTAATCTATGGAAATGAAAATTCGTCAATTGATTTGTTGTTTCTTAAATTATTTGTATGTTCGAAATATCAGCACAGTTGATAAAAATGGATATGAGAATTAGAGATGTAATCGATTATCAATTGAATTAAATATTTAAAAATAAATTGCAAGCACAATTGATGACAACAATTTGTTACAAGCATAACAATAGGCATAATTAATAACAAGACTTTTTCTGATGCGGGACAACAAATCATTTTGTTACGAAACAGACTTAGTTCACAGTCTGTTGATAACTCATAGTTACGATACGCATTAGTATGTTGTATGCCGTAACTGTTTATCTTTTCTTTTATATGTCTGAATTAAGCAAATCAAAAAATAACCTAGGTATACATATGGCACTTGCCGTATGCCATATTATTGTCGTAACCCTCAAGTGTTCATATGTTTGTAAAACCGTGTTTTTTTGAAGCGAAACAAAAATTTTTACCCATAAAGAATAATAATTGACTTTTTTTTGATATAAAATCGATTCTTTCAATTTGCCAATCAGTTTTTTGATTTTTCGTTTCGATTTCAATTATCGATTGTGAAAATCAATCGATTAATTAATGATAATAATAATAAGGAACTTGGAATTAATTCAGTAGTTGTTATTAAATATGTATTTATTTGTGATTAAACTATATTTTTCCTCAAATGTAAGTTTATCAACATCACCATGCACCATTATACCCTTCATTACCAGAAGCAGATGAATTATCAGATTGGTATTACTAAATATTGATTATCGATTAATTGATCAATTATTGATTATAATGTTAATAATTTTTAAATTAACTAAAAATGTGTTTGTATTATTGTTTCTAGATGGATCTCGGTCAATCCAGAAATACTCGGATTGATCAATACAAGCAAGGTTTGATAGAGATTTTATCATTAGCGCTGATCCATATTTTAACATAGTACAATCCATTCGCTACATGGTAAACATATAATTTTCATAAAAACTTTTCCATTGTATATATATATATATATACATAGAAAATAATTATTATAATGTTTTAATAACGAACAATCCTAATTATATTATCAAAAACTTTATGTGTGCTTATTATAAATAAAATGTTGTATTTATCATCTTTCAATAAACTATAAAGCAAATATATGACAATTTACTTACTAAATTACAATGCTTCAAAGACTGTAAATCTATTTAGATACACTCTCCATTCTCTTGCAATTAGCCCATAATGCGAGTGTGAATGTGACTTTATTTCACCTACTAGGACATTATGATTTGGCCAGTATATTATTTTTCAAATTTTATCAATTAGATAAACCATTTGATAATATTTATAGTTTAATGGATTATGTTGGTAATCATGATTTTTAATTTTTAAAATCATGTATATTTTGATCTTTAACACTTTAATATAATGAATGTAAACAGTGTCATCCAACTTTATTTCATTTTAGTTGGATGTTATTTTTTTATGTTAAAATTTCGAGTTGATCATGCAGATTCTTGCCATTTGATTACCATTTTTCTAGTAATTGTTATGCAAATTGTTGTTATTGCGATTGTAAATAATTGTAAATAATTGCAATTATAACAAAGTGCAAAAAGAGCTCTGTTAGTAGACTTATTAAACTGAATTTTTTAGGAAGCATGAGAACAAAACAAGAAGACAAAGCATTGTATTGAGAACAATTTTTCTGTGTTATTTAAATAATCGACATCAAATTTTTTTGAGATTAAAAAATCAAGCTAAAATAAATGTCCTAGTTCTCGATCCAAAATACTCATTTTTTTATGCTGGCTAGGTATGCAAAAATCACATTTGTTGCAAATATAGAAGATTTGATGTGGTCGCGAAGCAATTATTTTTTAAAAAAAAATTTGCAGAATAATTAAATTACAAGACCATGCGTGATTTTCATGATATCACTCTGATTTATTTTCTATCATTGCTATTCATTGTTAGTATTAGAAAAAGAAGTAAGCGATGGTAGTTAAAGCTTTTGTTGAGCTCTGTAGCCTTTGCATAATTGTACAACAATTTGATCAAGAAAATTTAGAGTTTGAGGAGTATGTACATTTATCATTTACATGTCACAAGTTAATAAGAATATAATATACGTGGCAGTGGCGACAAAGTCGCTTGTAATAGCAATTTCTAATTAATATATATATAAAAAAGAGATTTATTTATTTTTAATGATTAAAAAGTTGTTACATGAATAAATAATATGAATAATAAAAAAATAGCATATACATTGTTCACGAATTTAAGCTTTGCGATTTGTAATTTTTAGTCTTGGAGACCTTGAATCGGAAATTGAAAATTGGAATGTGTAATTTATCCAACAAAGTCACTCGGCTCGCAACATATACTTGACCTTCTGAAAACATGCTTTCATAACATCTAATGTTCTGTTTATCCTGGGTACTATAAACAGTTAGAGCGAATGCATCCTGGAGAGGAAGTTGTTGACTTGGTTATTATTATTTATTTAATTAACTAATAATAACAAATAAAAAAATCATCTTTTAAATCAAATTTTTTTTTTAAAATTATCCGCCAATTTTTAAAATCAGGTGATTGATACAATAAATGTAGTAGATGGATAACTATCATTTTTGACTAAACAAATCGGTCCAAGTTAACCTGTTTGTGTAGAAATCTTTATTTATTCGTCGTCATCGATTTTAATTCAAAATTTATGTATGTATAGAGAAAATCAAAGTTAAAGATCAGTAATAAAAAATTAAGTTTTAATGAAATATATATTCTCTTTCGTCACTAACATCAACATCCTTCTTATAATGATGTTGTTATTGTGATGAGAGCTATTATTTATATAACGCAATTGTTTTAATGAGAAAATTTACCAAAAAAGTGAAAGAATTTTTGGCGATACATACTATAATTGGAATATGCACGTTGCACCAATTTAAAATACTTGTTGGATATTTTCGTTCAAGAAAGGTTGAAAATAATTTATTGATATAAAAAATTCACCCAACGCCATCATGCTTAAATTTTTCTAAATTACATTTCTCCTGCATACTTATCACTCTTTTTTTTCTTCCCTCACCTTACATTCTTTTCATTTATCCAGTAAATATAAATTACCACACATTATAATTGATAAACATGTCACGTTATTTTAATGGTTTATTCATATTTTCAGTGTATTGTTACTGCTTTAACATAATAATAATTTCGGCACAATCAATTGACTTAAATCAATATAATTTAACAAATACTTGCCAAAACGCGATTAATTCTGTATCTCAAAATCAAGAAGTTGATAAATGTCTTTCATTTTCAACGATCATAGACACCATACCAACAATAGTCGATCCAAGCACCCCTGATCCTGTAATTAAAATTAATCTTATAGCACAAAATGTAAAGACGGTCTGCCTCTTACCAAAATGTAATATTGATACAATGCAACAAATTACTCAGCAATTGGGATCAAATTGTGTTCAAGATTTGGAATCAAAAAATCCTGTCGTAATGATGACTTACATTATGTTTGCTTATTATAAACCTCTTCGTGAAATCATTTGTTTACGAAATACTTCTAATAAGTTTAATGGATTTTGCATATTGGAAACCATCACGAACATTGCAAATGCTACTGCTTCAAATCAAAATAAAAATCAAAAAAGGAGTCTTGAATTTAAAAGTAATATTTATTATTGTTGTCATTATTATTGTCATATTTAAGAAAAATTAATTATTTTTTATGTTTAAATGTTCAGTTAATCACAAAATGGAAATCGATATTGATCATAATGTTGCAAATTTAACGTCCACAAGTATTTTTCACTCGACTACATCAGAATTGACCAACTTATCAAGTACGGGAACTGATAAGCTCACTCCATCGAGCGTGGAAGCCATTCAGCCCACTCCATCGAGTGTGGGGGCCACTCAGCCCACTCCATCAAGTGTGGAAGCCAACCAACCCACTTTAGCAAGTACAAGTGTACAAGAACAACCTACCATTCCAACATCAACAAATATTCCAACATCAACAAATATTCCAACATCTTTACCACCAACAACAAGCGCAGGATCATCTAAAGATCCTCTGATTTCATTCGTATTGCCATTACTCAAATTGCCACCAAATTTACTGTGTACAGATTGTAACGAGGTAAACAACTAATTATTATGGTTTACTTTAATACTTTCTCTCATAAATAAATATTTATTTACTTACAATATTATTATATAGGCAATGTTATTCATTTTATTAAAATATTTCAAAGAAAATCCATCGACTTCAACATCTTTTAATGATACACAATTTACAGCACCCTTAAACTCAATATGTGGCACGTCTTTCACAGATGGAATTATTTCAAATACAATATCAATAGCAACCATCACTCCTATATTCAATTCACTAATCATCTCAACACTTTTCTTTACGTTTTCCATGTCAATCATCTTTTGTAAAAATTAGTTAACATTGTTATAAAGTGGTGCGACATTTTTATATACCATATTCCCCGTAAAAAATGACACTCCAGAATATTTCCATTACATCTCCGTGATTATGTTTATCAACTCCGTAAATGCCCAGTTTATTTCATAAAAGCAGCAACCTGTTGAGCAAGAAATCCGGATTTTTTCCGTGATGTCATTTATATTAATATAGGAACATTTTTAAATATGTAATTAAAACGGAACGTGAGGATAAGATTTTATATTTCTAGAACATTATTAAGTAACTGATAAACTCGCAAATAAAAACGGACCTTTTTATTATTAAGTAACTGATAAACTCACAAACAAAAATAGGCATTTTTTTTCTTACAAATACATTTTATTTGTTAACTGTAACTTGATCAAAATATACTAATACACTAATACGGAAAATACTCGGAAAATACATAATAATAATAATAATAATAATAATAATAATAATAATAAACGAAAAAACATCGAGTTTAATAACGGGAAAAAACAGAATAATTATACACATCAAGTAAAAAAAATTTTAAACTAAATTTGGTTAATTTATTTCCAAATTTAGTGTAAATTCAGAGAGTGCGTGTAACATCCATCAACTAAATGCGCACGTTTTGTTGATAATGTGAGAAAAATTTGTAAACTTTGGCACAAATTCAGGAAACAGAAGCATTATTAAATATATTTATGATTAATTGGTTGAGTTTTTTTTTTACAAATTTCTTTTTTCATGTGTGCAGATTTAAGAGTTGGAAACTGAAACTGAAAAGCTAAAGAATGAAAATTCTGAATTGAAAAAAGCTAGAGATCACTTTACAAACCATTGAATTTATTTCAACAACACAACCACCAGAAATTTCAAAAGCTAAGACTATTATATGTAACCCTGTTGAAAACTCCAAATCCTAATTTCTAAACATATTGTGAAAGCACCAATAATCACTACTAAACCAACAGACACAAAGCAACTCTAAAGTTCATACAAAAATTTTCAAAAATGTGGCTAGACCTGAAGAAGCATCTAAACCTCTGGTGAAATTACAAAGGAATCAAAGTCTTTTGGAAACATCAACTACTGTTCATATATGTAAAACAGTCTAGAGAAGATGATGCACCTGAAACAAAAGCCAACCGAGTTAAAAAACAAGCGAAATTTTCTAGATATTTCTCTTAATAAACGTGGTAGTTATTTATTAATGTAAAAATTAATTATGTATATATTTGTTAATTGGTTATTAAATAAGCATGTGGTTTTTTATGCATTCTAATGAATATTGCCATTTTGGCCTTTTTACCTTTATTGTTTACTAAACAATATAAAATCCTATGTACTTATGCCTAAAAAAAAATTTACAATAGAACAAAGATCAAAAGGAATTTATATGTTTTATAAAAACGATTGCGTTCTCATCACATGTCATGATCATCATCATTATGAGAACGAATAGCGCGTTCAAAGAAATTACTTTACAATTCAAAAACATATAAAATTCCACAACTTTGAACTCTGAACTTTTTAAAATTTTATTAGAAATAATAATAATAATAAATCGATGAACTAATCTTTATGAATTGATATTTGTTCATCTCTATATAACAGACCATTTGGCTTAGGAAAAAATGTTTGTTATAGAGAGAATCCGTTTTAGACAGTAATAATTATAATTTATATATGGGACATATAAATTGTATAAGGATTAGCGGGATATTGTGTGTGCATATGCATTGATTGTGCAATTTATGAATTCATAAATAATTCTTCTTTTTATATTAAAAAATCTACATCTACGTATATATATATATAAATTATAGTATTTATTTATTTTTTTGAAAAAATTATATTCTTAACGACTCTTTGCTGCAACTTTTTGATGTGCACCACGAGCTTGTTGTTTTGATATTTTAGGTTGTCCACGAGAACCTTTATCAATCTGTAAAAATTTAAAATATATAAATATGTGTCTTTTCTTATTCCTTCTCTTTCTTTGCCTTTATTAATTTATATCTTATAATGGAAAATTTTTTTAACAAACCTTAGCTTTTTCAGTTTTACGTTTAGTTTGTTCAACTTTCTTTTTTTCTTTTGCTTCACGAATAGCTTCTTGACGAGCAGCTTCTCTTACTTCTGGCTTTTGATTACGTTTGGCGCGAATAGCATCCCATGAAGCACCCACAACACCACGTTGATGTTTTACAGAACGTCTTGTACGTTTTTTAGCAACTTCTTCGGTGATACCTTTTTTATGCATGCGTCTATAAAGTACTGTCCAACTAATTTTACGTGGATTTAATCGTTGTAGAAATAATGATTCTGATTTTGAACCAGTGAAGCGATAAGTCTAAATTTATTGATTTTGAATGGATGGATGAATTAGTGAACGAGTGTTGATGGAACGATGAAAGTGATGGTGATGGAATGAACGAGCGATGAATTAATTAATGAACAGTAAAGGAATGATGATGGTGGCGATGAATTCATTAATAAACGAGTGATGATGATATTAGATCATCATTATTATCATTATTAAATTATTATTACATCTTAATTATACAATAATTACTAACCCTATTATCAGTCTTGACATAAATTTTTCCTTTGCCAGGATAAATTTTATTACCCGAAAATGAATCTAATTCAATTCTAAATTATTATTAATGAATTAATGAATTAACGGAATAAATTGATGTGAAAGTTAATTATATATATATATATATATATATAATAACCATAACTTCTTTCCCTCTTAATACCAATTTCAAAATACATACTTCATGATTGCTTTTTAAAATATTTGAGAAGTGATGGTGTGATTAGAGTGAATTAATAATTTAAAAAAATTTTTTTATTCATTGTGTGACAAATCATCATTTTATAAAAAAAAATAATCAAAATGTAACAACATTTTTAAAATATCTCTCTGTTTTTATAATAAACTCGAACTTGATGATTAAAATAAAGAGAAACTACTCCATTAAAGCTTTCTAATAAACGTATTGAAAGGTGTTCTATATGCAAAACCACGCACACTTATTCAAAAATGGGTTGTCACTCCAAATCTAAGATTGCTTTTCAATATTGCTTTAAAAGATTTGATAGGTGGCAGAGAATGTGAAAATACTCTTGTTGTTATGGTTATTACTTTATGGTTAATAAGTTTTTAGGATTTTTTCTTTTTGAAATTTGGTACTAGTTATAATATCAATCAATATATTATTAATCAATCCACATAATTCAACTATATACTACTATTTTTGTATCACCATAAAAAATTAAATCTTTCTAGAAAATTTCGATAAACATTCCTTACTACATAAAGAGGGATCAGCATCAATATATTTATGGTATATAATATCCTTGACTGTAATATATACAAGTTCATTTATTTTAAATTTTAATAGGCTATTGCATTGATCAAAGAAATGTGCAAAACATATACTTGCTATCTCCCATCTAGCACCAAAAATAATTTTCATGGAAATACATTTCATTTCTATTGTTAATGTCATTATTTTAACCAGTAATTGCCGATTGAAATGACCAGGAAATATCACATGACTAAACAATTTTTGTTGCATTTTTTTGATTGGAAATTTTTTCTCAAGTGGTGTGATGCAGAAGGTTTGTGGGACTAGGTGACTTGCACCATAGTAATCAAATTATTTTTTAGTTTTTTCCTCCAAAACTAAAAATGACTTTATTACACATATTATCATACTTGGCATCCTTCCTAACGGTGATATTCCTAACATTAAGTTTAGGTAACTAATTTCATTTGCATATAAACGTGTACGAGGGAGAAAGAACATTTAATGATTGGATTTTTCTGATCTTTGAAGCATTTATTTATCGTATATGTATAATTTTCATTTCATAAAAATTAAAAGCGTGTGGACTTTATTATTTAGGTAAAATTTGTTGATCTGATGTGCTTGTTCAGCTGAAAACGTAATTTATTCACTTACAAAGATGTTTAATTAGCCGAGCTTGTGGAAGAATACACTGTAATGACGAAAAAGATTATAAAAAGCACAACAATAGTAAGATTTAATTAAATTTAATTTACATTACACACACATATATATTTTCATGAAATAATTATTTTAAAATATATTTTTCTAGATTGTCGTATCGATTCACATTCTGTTGTGTATATTTGATGGATTTCCATTCTTACAAACAATGTTTTCAATAGGATGTCATGGTGTTTACACTATGAATCTCAAGACTTTTCCATTCATCAATTTGACAAGTTTACCATTCATAGCAAGTTTTAGTAAGAAATATTCAACTGATTTTTAAAATTTAATATTTATCTATTTTTATTTTTTTACTTATTTTAATTGAAAAAAAGTATTAGTGATAGTGGATCATTTTCTTTGGTTTAAATATTTCACAACACATCGTTATATGTTCATGGATATTGCGTCATTCTTTGGAGTATGCGTATGGTTAATACCTTTCACCTATTTCATTTCATTGAGTGCAAATGATAATGCATTGCCTTCTTATGGTATTTATTATTATTATTCGATTTTTTTTTTTAAAAAAAAATTTTTTTTAATAAAGTAATAACAATATAACTAATATAATCTACATAACCTATATAATTAATATACAGATCCAAATATTTATAGCAATGCTGATGAAATTCCCGCAAGAAGTAAAGTTGGATTATTGAAAAAATTTTTGAATTTCATTTTACAAAAGAAAAATACTTTAATACCAATGGCTACTACTCCAACTTTATCTTCTGTACCTTCTTCATCCGTCACTTCTGCTTTACACACATTATCTTCAAAAAAATCATTATGAGGATGAATCAATTGGAGCAGAGTGAATGAGAGAAAAAAATTCAACCTTTAATAATAACTAATATTAAATATATCTATGTGTAATTTTTGATTTATATTTGACTATAATGATAACAATAACAATAATAATAGTATTGAGCATATGGACTCTTTATATACACATTAATTATAATCAATTAATTTGTATTATTATTATTACTATTATTGTTGTTGTTGGTATAGTTATTATTATTAGCGTTAGTAGATACCAATGATGATGGTGTTTGATCTGTTAATGGATATTTATTCTCAATCCAACTAAAGCATAATCATGCCACCTAATTATATATTATTAGTATAGGCATAAAAATATAATATATTATGAATATTTATTATATATATATTTGTATATATTACTAGTGAAAAATTTTAGTAATATTCTTTTCTGCCAAAATGATTTCATTACAGTTTGATCTGTTAATGGATATTTATTCTCAATCCAACTAAAGCATAATCATGCCACCTAATTATATATTATTAGTATAGGCATAAAAATATAATATATTATGAATATTTATTATATATATATTTGTATATATTACTAGTGAAAAATTTTAGTAATATTCTTTTCTGCCAAAATGATTTCATTACATGCCCAATATATCATCCAATCAAATACGTCACTGAATATTTAGTATGTGTCCAAAGATCATGAAAAAAAGTTCATAGACTCAAAATAATATTAATAATAATGATAGTGATAATGATTCACGTCAAAAAAAATTTTTTTTTAATTGAAAAAAACAAAAATTCATAATAATAATTGTCAAATGGTATGTTTGGTTTTTTTATTCATTTAGGTAGGATCAGTTAACTATGTATGCGCCAGAGATTTTTGAATCTGAAATTAATAATTTAAAATTATTATTTACTGAAATTGCATCTCGATCAATGCTTTATTAAATTAATTACATTTTTTTCTTTAATATGGGCCATAGTTATGACAAATTGCATATATATGTATGCTGTTAAGATTTCAAAATGACGTTTTCTTTGAAAATAAAAAATGGTTATTGCAATCTTTTACAAAGAAAAAAAGACAAGTTTAGAGGGTTATAATAGACAGAATTTTTTAAAAAAAAATTTTCAATTAATGAATATACACATGATTTTCGATATTCGAAATTAATTCATAATTGCGCGAGTACTCGTAATACTTTCGAGCATTCAAGCATTCACCAGTATTTGTAATTCGAATTCGTAATACAGTCAAGGCTCTATATTTTTGGTCCCAGTTTTTTATTAATCAAATTTGTTCTATGCAACAAAGTTTATATTCTATATAACGAGCTGTTTTTTGTACTATAAATGGCTCTCTCTATTCTTAAAAATACTAATTTATTATTTATTATATTTATTTATCTCATTT